TTTGTTTTTTATTACACCAACTTACAAGAAACAAGACTTGTATAAGTTTTATAAATATTGTCATTTTCTTTACAATAAATTAATAATACATAAGGGTTATATCTACATTTATGGAAAATTCACCTTCCCATACCAGAGAAAAGAAAAATAGGGAAATTTAGTGAAACTTTATTATTAATAGACATTTTTACAAGCCCAACATTAAAAAGTCGAATTTATATTATAGGTGCTTTTGCAACATTCTCCAAAGTTCTCATAAATTCTCGAAAATTCTCAAACATTCCCGAAAGTTCGGTAACGTTCGAAAATTACTGAGAATTTTACAACACTACTCACAAGTTGTCGTTCATGTTATGATAGACTATACGGTTTGTATGTGTTTGGAATGTTAGAAGTTAGTTCAATATGCATTTTGATGTCTACATTTCTCAATAAATCATAGTTTTCAGCAAAACAATTTAGGTATTTGGCATTGATAAGTAGCTGTCGTTTTTCTTCTGACGTAATAATTTCTCCAACATGTGATGGTTCATCTTTCTGTTCTATAGCCCTGACCAAACACTTGTTTTCGGTTTGATTTATACTAAAAATCTGCAATTTGCCTTGTCCGTTTAGTATTTTTAACCTAGCTTCGGGTATTATGAAATAGTTTCCATTGTAATCTTGTTCGGATAATTTAGATTTTAAAAATACAATTTCACATTTTGTTTCAATTTTAATAATTATTTTGTTTTATTATCTGATTGGTATCTGTGATTTCTGTGAAAATCCTATCGTATCAGGTAATAAATTGAACAAATTTTCATGAGTGAGTTTCCAACAATAAGCTGTTATATAAACAACCACACCTGGTTTTTCTGTAACTGGTCTACCAATTGTCTTTTTTTTCTTATATGGTGACATACTGGCTCGTTTTTTTTCACAACTTGCGAATCACTTTAAATAGACGTGTAAATTACACCCGGTATATATGGGTAGTTGTTCAAAATATTGTCTTTACGCGGCGCGTAGACAGATGCCATGTTATGTTATAAACTTAAAAAAACATAAATGAATTTGAAAGCACAAAAAAATATATTTCGAAAGAATTCTGATTTAACCACCTTGAGACGAGTCTTCACGTTAACTAACTATTCTTTCAAAACAACTCATTACATTTCTGCAACGGAAAGGAAAAATGCCAAGGGACCGTTTCATGACTAATAGGCCATAAAACCGTCCTTTCTTCTCGGTAGATACCACAACCTGGCATTCAAAAAAATCAATATTGCTCATATTTTAGCAGTGTAGGAAAAATACAAAAAAAAAATGGTGTTACTTTTATTAATTCGGTTTACAATATATAAACGGATCGTAACTCGCTAGGCGTTCGGAATGAAATTTATAATCGTCATTAGAGATTATGATGAAATAGATAAAAGGGACAAATTATATGCCTGTGACAATTATAAAAACATCTATCCCTGTATTCGGACCTTCGTCTTGACATTCCTGTTTTTCTAATTTTGCTTCTGCTATTCCGAGAGATATTTCTGGCAGCTTCATACTCCAATGTATGGACAACGATTCCTGCTAAAGTGTTATGCCCACTTAGTCCTATCGCTTGGTGCAGGGGTTTATATCATAATAAAAGGGGTTTAATATCCAGAGAACATTGCGTAAAATATTTCCCTATTGACAAAGGGTTAATTTGGTTAAATAATTCAATTACAGCCAATTCCCAGTATGCACATAGAATTCAGTGTAAAACTGCACAAAATAGAATAAAATTAAATAACATAAAAGTAAAACAGTTCTCAGTATAAACATAGAATTCTGTGTCTAACTGCCCAAAATAAAATGAAACAACATGAAGCTAATGCAGGAAAGCTTATGGCTATCGCTCAAGGGAAATTATATTTTTTTCTCCACTAAACATTCTCTAAATGTGGTTCTAATTTAGGCACTATAGCTCACCCTTAATCGGCAGATCGACGCGATTGTAAATCCCGATACCACGGTAGATGAAAGAATTCCTTACCAGAGTGGAATTTAGAATAAGTAAGGGATATTGTCAATTTGGCGTGTGGCTTAGGCTTGCTAGTGAATGGGAAGATGTTGTTTGTTCATGTGGAGCGAGCAGGCAGTCTCAAGAATGGAAAAAGTAACAACGGCATCCCAAAGGAGACACTCCAGGATCAGCACCATCGTCAGTAGCAGCTTTCTTGTTCTTCATCGCATCAATTGACTTTTGTGAGGGCCAGTTGGACTGAACTTGTTCATCAGTCAGGAATGTTTATATTTGAAAGATAAGACAGAGGCTCCATAATAGAATGGAGATCCTTCTTACTAGAATATCAGCAACTGAGAAGTAGTAATCGTTCAATAGGTTAGTGGCTTTGTTAATATCCAGAGATTTCATAGATCGTTTATTAACTTTGTTAAGACGGACCCTTAGCCCGTAATTTTCGCTGCATGGAATTGGGATTTAGGAACCGTTAGTGAGTGTTGAAGAGTCTCGGCATTACGTATGACTGCCCAGCGTATCTTTCTTGCTTGGGTTTATTTTCTCTCAAGGCCTTTTGAAAATCTAAGGAGGCGAAAGTTCGAATATCAGAGGCAAACCAACTGTTCTGATCAAAGCGCAATGCAAGGTTTTGTTGACGACATCTGTGAGAGCCATTTGGAAAGCTCCCGTTGTGTCAGCATTCTGAAAAACAGTAGGGTTCGCTGGATTGGCAAAGGCGTTCGAAATTGCGACTGCTCTACATTCTCCTACCCATATTTGAAGGCTTACAGTTTATGGGAAATTTGGCCTCCCGCTTTCGTTGTCGGGTTCATCCCATACTTTATTCATCTCCTTTTTCAGTTTTCTATATTTCTTTTCGAATATTTTGAGGCAGCCATTCCAATTTCGTATTTGAGCATTTCTATTTCCTATTTATTTTTCATTCAGATCGCTCCTATTTGGCATTTGACTCCTTGTCAAATTCTCTGAAAAAACTTCGCGGTTCTGTCAATATGTTTCTCTCCTTTCAGTTGTTTTGCGAAATTTTCCGGAGCCGGTCCTTTTTCCCTTTTGCCGTCTTGCCGTGACTTTAGTTCTTTTTCGATAATTGTGTTTTTTTTTCTCACATTTAGTTTTTATCAAATTAATTGACTTTATATAAAATTCACTTATCACTTATCGAAACGTACACAACAAATCTCGAATTTAAACCACTTATAGAAATTGACTCCAACAAAGCTCTTATCTAGACTGACCCAATACCTACTACTACTCGCTAGTTATTGTCGAAAAATATAATTGAATTCCCAGAAAAGATTTGCTCCCAGACGTAAACAACAAATTTCCTAGAATCCACTCGGGTTCCCCCGGCAATTTCGTGACAATATCTTTTTTAATTCCTTCCACTCGCCAATAAGGTTTTTATGAGGTCCACCTGAAGTTATTAATGCTGCACCGTAAATATTTTCTTCAATGCATTGATAGTGTTATTCGGCATCATTATGTCTGTAGTTTCTGATCCAATCGTTTAATGGACGACAGACCAGATTGAAAATATTTTGTTTTAATTTTGCAAAGATAAATTACTGAAGGAACAGGTGCTTATTGCGTCTTGCACATTCTTCACTGACAAACAGCTGTTGGACCCTTATCACTAAGTTGTCCACCAGAGCATATCATTGTGAAAAAATAGCGCGCAGGTACGACTTCAACACAATTTTTGAATATCTCCTTTCCTAAACACAGCCATCTCCTCTCCCTTACCCGGTGTAACCATATTACACTTTATTTTCCAGATTTTAGGTCGTAGTACTTATAGCGATTTCCATTTGTAGAATCAGTGAATAAAAATTAATAGTTATCCTCGTATTTCACATGCTTCTAGAAAAAGATGCGCATCTATTGACAAATCGAAATAAGTTCTCACCACGTCATTTACGAAACTTCATGTTATATCATTAGTCAATAATTGAGTTTTGTCCTCTTTCATAATTTTTCCACATGTATTTCTTCATGCTAAAAGTTTCCATTAGAAATTCTGAGACTACTTTTTTGCTAGTCGATATCAGATATCAGTCCATTGTTATTTGTTGTATGTTGGTCCATAATTTCCCACCCCTTTGTCTTTCTGAATATTTTATTAGAAAAGTCAAAGCTATAAGTTTTCGTTCAAAAAAGCAGAGTTTGATAAATGATCCCTTCGACTTTGATAATATATAACATAGATTTTATAACTTTAAGCATTAGCTAGAAATATTTGATCCTTTCCAGAATGCCCATGTGAATGTGAAATAAATAACAAATTGCCCGAAAAGATTCTTTTTTCCCTTCGTTTGATGTATGGCCTGTTTTCAAACTTTGAATTTATTGAAAATAATTTATCATGTTTAGTTTTGGGATTGATTAAAGTTTCAGCTCGATATAAAAGTTTAAACAAGGTCCTCTTCAACGCTTGTTCTTTCTGGCCTTTAGGGCATCGTTAAAGCTTAAATATAGGACAGTGCATTTACCAGAAAATCAATTTACTCGTCGGAAAACCCGAAGCCTTCCCGGTTAGTTACTGTAGTGCTTCTTGCTTGCTTTATCTTGGAGGAGAGCCTTTTATAGTTTCGTTGGCCGCGCAAAATGCGCTTTTGATGTTTTATTTGATGTATTTTTGAAAATGGGAAACTGATAAGGAAAATAGTTTTCTATAAAGGAAATAATACAAACAATAAAAAACCAATCATAAAAAGGATATCGTATGCTGCAGAATTATAGAAAATATTTCAATCCTCACATTATATTATAAACTAGTAACTTCATCTATTTTATACTCAACAAAATTTATTTCCCAGTCTATTAACACAATAAAGCTTTTGAATACATTTTAATATAAATCCGAAATATTATTCTCAAATAATTGGAAACTCATCGAAATTTAATTTATCATTGGAAAGCTTTTTTCAGTAAAATCATTCAATCAATTAATTAATACCTGAATTCCATTAATTTATTTGAAATATTGTTACAGCGCTAGAGTAAAAAGTGGAATTCGATTACTAGAAGCAACGCCATCTGGAGCATCTCCATGGAATATCACTGTGGATATTAACACTAGACATACCGGAGCTACGGTGACGTTGGTGCGAAAAGAGCCACCAGAAGCAGAGATTGTCACTACAGATGGAGAGTAAGTCAATTATTTTTGATTAAATTCCATATTTATTCTGTAACATTGGCTGGAGGGGGCCTTTGTTATTATTGCCCTTTTCGTCCGGAAATGGAAATCATCTCTTCAATATATTCTAAGTAATCTACAAAGTGTTTTGTGGTAGTTCTTACTTTAAAAAAGAGTTTCAACCTAAATTGATATCAATATTTAAATACAATATTATATGATAACATGAACCCTAGTCGAGCATAAAACTTTAATAATTTCAGCCGTCTTATGGATTAATATAAGAAAGTGTTCTGTAGTTGTCTCCGGAATGTGTTTATTCATTTTTTTTTTCTCTCGTTTCGTTGGTATTGGTTACTGATAATCTTATGCATTTTCGTTGCAAATTTGACGTGATTTCATAAAGGCCAAGAGGCCGTTAATGCCTTGACCTTTATATGAGAACTCAAATCTTTTTCATTTCAATTGTCTTAATTTTTTTCAATCTTAGTAAGACATGTAAAGAATGGTAGAAATCTTTAGAAAAACTTCGCGTGTTGCAACACGATAAAATGAGCGGTTCCAAGAAAAACTCCTTTGAAAATTTGCTTGCACTTAATGAATATTGAATCATTTCATCCTATTTCAGCACAAACAAAGTAGGTATGCCTTGGAAACAAGCGCGGGAAGTTTCTTTAGAAACAAGAAGTGTAAATGAAATAAAGTTTCACAGATAATTACCCAAGTAGTTTCTTATAAAATCTTCGAGATTAGAATAATAATTATTCTAGCGTTGAGCTACGTGATATAGTTCAGCTATGCATTTCCAAATAAAAGTACACCGCAATCGCGACTATTCAGTACAATCCATCAAAGACTGGTAGACGTTGGACTAGGAAATAGTCCAAAGGTACATAAATTTGAGAAGAAACTTCATTTCATCCGGTTCATTAAGGCCCAAGCTTTATGGCCGTAAATTTGTGTAATACCATTAGAAATCTCTATAATGGCGACTGAACTTTTTTAGTTTCAATTTTTTTCATGGACAAAGGTAAATCATTATAATATGATGATTTGAATGAATATTTACCATAAACATAAATTATTTGTCTATAAGAATCATCACGCGGTTTTTCAAATAAGTTTTTTGTTACGTGTGTGCCGTTCAGAACCCGATTCCTTTCCACAAAGAAATATTTGTCAGATACACTTGGATTATGTAAGACATCAGTTTCATTCAAAGGTGTACCTCATACCCTTTTATTCGGAGATGCACCCCTCGGACTAAAACAGACAATGTTGCTACTTGATGACGGCGCCCTGCCACATTTCAGATTGGCAAAAAGAATTTTTGACTAAAACTTTTTCCGAAAGATGAACAGAACCCTGTCGACTTGTGCTTTGTGGCTTTGATGAAATTGAATACCCGAATATTGAATACTAAATGAAGGATCACCTCGAGTCGAATTATTGGATGCTTTTCCAGGAATACAAAAAACTTCAATAAAATATTAAATTACTAGTTGATGGGCCTGTCTCTTCCAGGCAATGTAAATAAAATTGTTTGTCATATTAACAGAAGATCATTTACAGAATCTATAAAGAATGTGTACGATGTGAAATTACTAAAAAAAAATATTAATTTTCTTCTTCTTTCTTCTCGGGTTTTTTAAGTTCAATATTTAATTTTTATGTACTCTGTATCATAACTGAAAAAAATTAGTTGGCAACACTTGCTTTCGCGAAGACGCGACGAACGTGCGGATGGTTCGACGCGGGGTCGGCGATAAAACGCATGCAGATTTCGCTAAAACCCGTTTTTTGCCTGTTTTTTTCTTCTAGTTCGAAATTGAAAAATCTGGCTCCGTTGGGTTCTAGCCAGTGTCCTAAAGAACAATTATTCCGAATTTGAGAATCCTAGCTCAAATAATAACGTCAGAATCGCGTGGAAAGACATATAAACTTTTTTAGCAATTATACAAATAGTCAAAATACCCCAAAACGCCTCTGTTTCGATATTCGTGAAACACCCTGTCTTTGTTAATAAATTATTGTTCGCCAAAATTAATTCCACCTACACTTCTTCCCGCGAAAACTAGGCGCATTGTTTAAGAGGCAGGTATTCATTGAGTTTAAGCAAATTCCTGAATTCGTTTTCCTTGGGAACAGCTCCTTTTATCTTGATACAAAAGGCTAGTATTTCTGAGTTTTCGGGAAAACACTGAAAAAACTTAGCTATAAATATAACTACAACTTCTTTATTATGAAGTAGCTGGAACTTCGGATATGAGGTAAGTTATGAGTCTTTACTATGAAGACGTGTTGCAGTTGAAATTCTCAAAGTACCTTGAGCTTATCTTAATTCCATTGAGAGCTTAAGACAACATCATCCTGCATTAATAGTCAAGACTTTCTTAAAAATATACCTGCATTTTCTATTGATACTGAAGATTTAGCATGTATTACTGGAAACTTTATGATATAAATCAGCGCTACATAAACTTCAACTCATAATAAAAGTTGTGACTTTGGATGTTGAATGATACACAAAGAATATTTTTTGATAGTTTTATTACTAAAAATGTAGGTACTTATGCAAATCATCTAGAACAGATCTCTTTGGTGTTGAAGCAAACACTGATAGATGATGCCAGAAGTTCTTCAATGAGACTTACGCTGTGCAAATTCAATCTACAAATTATAAAAATGAATTAATCATAAATGAATAAACATATGGGGTACTAAAACTTACACTGGGTTATGATGTCATAAATATTATTATCATACTCTTCTTGGAAACATTCGCGGAAATTATTGTCATTATTTGTTGTGTTTTCGGTGGTCGTTAAAATAGAGTAGGTTTTGCCCTCGATGTCTTCTAGTTCTATCTAGAACATTGCAGAATAAGATGAAGTCATTGACGTACATTCTTTTATTCATAATTTAAATACTCACCAATGATGCTTCAGCTTGCTCTGATGATAAGGTGGAAATATTAAGTGTCGCATCAATAATGGGAAGATTAGGAGAAAGATTTTTTTCTCTAGACGTTGTTCTTCTCTAGGTGTTGTTTTTCTCTGATTTCCGCCAATTTTCTCACCATTACGAATCTCTAATTTTGGTAAAAGTTTCGCAATGGCGTCGGAGTCGAGAAACAGCGAATCTTCTGGGGTAATGGCTTCTTCTAAAATACCAAAGAAAGAATAAAATAAAGTATTTATAATTTAAGTAAGGATTCTATTTATAATGCTACAAACTGCAATTCAATATCACAGTTTGAAGCTTACATTATGTTAAGGGTGTATGGGAAAATGATGCTTATTGGGATGCCTTCAAAATGGTTTTTTAGGTTACTGTTAACTGTTATCTTCTGTTAATGATTATACTAATGGCATAATGTACATATACCTACTAAAATGATAAAATGTAAATTATTATTATATATAAGGACTTACCTTCAAAATTTCCTAAGTAATGCCCCAGACCTATCGCTTCAAGAAATTCTTTGCATGCCATTTTTATATTTTTTCTTTCAAAAAAATCTCGAATCGACGATTTTGGAATAATTAGAATACAAACTGTACGCTCGCGAAGGGCAAAAAATATAGACTGATGAAGATGGTTTTTGTTGGAAGACGTTGTGCAGTACCTTACCGTGTGACCTTGTGCAGTACCTACCTTACCGTGTGACCTTGTGCCAGCATCGACACAACGAAACGTTTGGGCCAATGTTAAGACAATTCACATGGAACTAAATTCTCTATCTATTATCTTTTACCTTTTCAATGGCTGTTGAAGTAACAACTCGAGGATTTAATAAAATCGATAATATTCATAATATTAAAGAAAGCATGTGCTTAAATGTATCCCAGTCCTTAAAAAAGTTTCTTAACAATAAAGACATGTGTCTTGATATTTATCTGGAATGATCAACCCCTACTTGACTTAAATATTAAGAAAGAATTTCTATACTGTTATGAAGAGTTTCGTAACACCAAATACCGTTCTTAATTCGCAAGACTAGTCTCTTGAATAGTATAATGCTGGCCTCAAAGTCACATAGGACTTGAGTTTTAATGCTGACTTTTTTCAGTGCATTATAGGATCTTTGGCATTAATAATTATTATTCAAGTAAAATAATTGTCACTCTTTGCTGTCAATCCTAACACCATGTGCCAAACATATATCTGATTACACTTGAAATTTCGCAACTGAAATCCTAAAATCTCTTAATTTCTATCAAAAAAGTATATTCAAAACGTCTTTTTGTTTTACTTTAGATTCTCCAGAGAGAAGTCCTCTTGTAGTCACAAGTTATCCACTTAAGCCCAAAATCCACTTTATATTCCATTCGCAAAATCCAAAACGGATCTAAATCGACTTAGGGTCATGGTCCAAAATTTCTTGGGGCCGTCCCTCTATTTGCATTGCAAATAAGGGGATGATTGTTGTTATCACTAACCCTTTAAACAAATTAAATTTGACCCAATTATGTCGGTTAGGCTGGTGGTTTCTTGATAACACTGAATGTTTCTTAGCCTGTTAGCAGCTATACATTTTTTTCTTGAAAGGGCTAAATTTCCACAGACATTGCACCAATGGTATTTGTTTTGTTCAGATTCGCATGTCTGATTTCAATGGCTGTCCTCGTGTGAGGATGCTGGGCATTATGTCGATTGATATTTGATATTTTGAGTTATGCATAAGACAAAAAAACAGTCAACAGATATTTTATCAGAGAATATTATGGAACAGAAATTCAGATGAAAATCATATTTTTATGCCTTTGATTTAGAAAGTGAACTCACTTCAAATCCCTTTCTGGGAAATCACCTTGTGCGTAAGTTTTTAGTCCCAAAAAAATAGCATTCGCTTGAAAATTATCAAATAATTGGGAGATACATATTGAGTCGTTGTGTCTGTTTTTTAATTTAAACTTTATTCAATCCATTTTTAAACAAACAGCATAGAACATAGTATTCTAATACCGACGTCCCCATTCGGGAACAGTAGAAGTTTTCAACTACTAATT